ATAATCGATATGCTATAAGTCATTGACATAAGCTATTTGTATGCTCATATCCATAAAAAAATAGAATATATATAAAATAGAAAAGAAGAAGCAAGAGTAAAATAATTCTATTTAATTAATTTAAAAGCATATGCATATGACTGAAGAATAAACTTATAGAGATGAAACAAGTAAAATATATAAAAAAAAATTAGGCTCATGTTCCTCAAAGCTAAAGATGGGAGTTCATGCCCATTACCTACTCCATATTTATTTATTCCAGACGTAAGCCTCACTCATGTGAGCACGGGCAAAATACTTATATTTTATTTGATGAATATAATACATGAGCTCTACAGAGTGAGAGAAGGCTATTGATGAGTTGTAGGATCCTCTACAGTCTAGGATGTAGAGGTTCCCATGGAGCTACATACCATATTGCATGTAGGTATACATTGTTTCTTCTATAAGTATTGTTAGAATAAGTTTATTGGGTATTGGGTTAATGGGCTGTGACCCGTTAACCATACTCCTCTTTGTATGCATATATATATGTATTCTTAACTATCTTAATGACTCAATTGATTAGGGTTTTTGATCCTTCAACATGGTATCAGAGCGATACCCTCCAAACCCTAACCCTTGTTCTTAAAAAAAAAAAAAAGTACTAACCTTCTCTGCTCTCCTCCGCTCCGCAACCGGACTTCACCACCCTCCAAACCCTAACCCTCGACGACGGTGCCGGAGTCTCTTCGAGCTGCTCACCACCGCCCTGCGTTTAGTTCTCATCGCCGCCATCAAAAAAAAAACAAAAAAAAAGGGGGGGAAGAAACTGATCGGAACCCTAAAGGACAAGCGGATCGCTCACCACCGCCCTGCCCTTTGTTCTCATCGTCCTCTCCTTTGCTAGATCCACTGAGCTCCAACCTCCTCTAGCCGCAGACCTCCGACGATCCTCTTTCCTCCAGCCTCGGCATAGTCAGCAAAGAAAGCATGGTAACTGTAAAGTCACTTTTTTTCCCTCTTATTGTGTTTTTCAGGACCTAGCAACTGGGATGACGATTGGTTCGGGGCATGAGAGAGGAGGTATGTACTATTTGGACGATAGTGTGTCAGATACTGGTCTTGTTGCATCACAGCCTGGCTCTACCTTACTATGGCACTGGCGTCTAGGTCATCCTTCACTGCAAAAGCTTAGATCGGTAGTTTCTATTCAGCCTTCTGTTTCTTCATTAGGTTGTGAGTCGTGTGAACTGGGTAAGCACCATCGTGCTACTTTTCAGAGTCGTGTCAATAAACGCAGTAGTGTTGCGTTTGAGTTGGTTCATTCCGATGTTTGGGGTCCTTACCGTGTTTCCTCTGTGAAAGGTTTTCGATATTTCATTGTCTTTGTTGATGATTTCTCTCGCATGACTTGGTTGTATTTGTTAAAAGAGAGGTCTGAGGTCTCGAATGTTATTGAACTTTTTTATAATGAAATAAAAACCCAGTTCTCTACTTCTGTTCGTATTCTTCGTACTGATAACGCTTTGGAATATATGAAAAATGATGTTACAAAATTTTGTGCACTTAATGGTATTATTCATCAGACTTCATGTTCTCACACTTCACAACAAAATGGAGTTGCTGAGAGAAAACATAGACATATTCTAGATGTTGCTAGAACAATGATGATACATATGAATATTCCAAAGTATTTGTGGTCTGATGCTGTTCTAACTGCCTGTTATTTGATTAATCGCATGCCTTCCTCTGTTCTTGATGGTTTAATACCATTCCATTGTCTTTATCCTGATAAAAAACAATTTTCTGTGATTCCTCGCGTCTTTGGTTGTACGTGTTTTGTTCAGGATTTGACACCTGGTTTGGATAAATTGTCTTCTAGATCCATTAAGTGTGCTTTTGTTGGATACTCACGTACTCAAAAAGGGTATAGGTGCTATCATCCCTCCACCAGAAAATATTTTGTGTCTGCTGATGTTACCTTTTTTGAGTCTGTCCCATATTTTTCCTCTAGTTCCACTACTGCTGGTTGTCCACAGGTACCACTACCTTCTTATGCTCCTACCACTATACCGTTATCTGCTCCTGAGGCTCCTGCACCGAAGCCTCTACTGACATACTCTCGTCGTCCTAAAGTACATGCACCTGTCTCTGTTCCTGCCGACTCTTCATCTCCAGCTGCAGGTCCATCTCATGTTGAGACTTCTATCTCTTCTGACTTGGATGTTCCTATTGCTCTTCGAAAAGGTAAACGATCTTGTCCGAAATATCCTATCTCTCTTTTTGTCTCTTATGACCGTCTCACCTCATCATTTCGTCAGTTTGCTTTGTCATTGTCCACTATATCTTTACCCAGGTCACATGAGGAAGCTTTATAAAGCTCGCCTGGTTGCTAAAGGTTATACTCAGACATATGGCATCGACTATTTTGAGACTTTTTCTCCTGTTGCGCGTCTCAACTCCATCAGAATTCTTTTCTCTTTAGCTGTTAATATGGATTGGGCGATGCACCAACTAGATGTGAAGAATGCTTTCCTTTATGGTGATTTGGACGAGGAGGTTTATATGGAGCAACCTCCTGGGTATGTTGCTCAGGGGGAGAATATTATCTGCAGGCTGAGGAAGGCCATTTATGGGTTAAAACAAAGTCCACGAGCTTGGTTTGATAAATTCAGCAATGTTATTTCTAGTGTTGGTTTCCAACGTTGCCAGTCTGATCACTCTGTCTTTCTTCGACGTACAACAACTGGCTTGGTTATTTTAGCAGTATATGTTGATGATATTCTACTGACTGGGAGTGATTCTGTTGCCTTAGCAGAAACTAAGGAGTATCTAAACCGTCATTTTATCACCAAGGACATGGGAAAGCCCAAGTATTTTCTTGGGATTGAAGTTGCATATCAAAAGCATGGCCTGTTGTTATCCCAAAGGAAGTATGTGCTAGATTTATTAGAAGAAACAGATCTCTTGGGATGCAAACCTGCAAGCACTCCAATGGAGGCAAATGTTGATTTGTGGCGTGATGATACTTCTTTACTGGATGATGCTGGACGATATAGGAGACTGATTGGGAAGCTAATCTATTTAACAGTTACCAGACCTGATATTACATTTGCAGTAGGTGTACTGAGCAGATTTATGCACAAACCTAGAGAGGTTCATTGGACAGCTGCTCTAAAGATTTTGGCATATGTCAAGAGTTGTCCTGGTAAGGGATTGCTATATAAGAAGCATGGGCATACTCACATTTCGGCTTTCTCTGATGCTGGCTACGCAGGAGACATGGGAGACCGAAAGTCAACCTCAGGATTTTGTACTTTTGTTGGAGGTAATCTTGTGACTTGGAGAAGTAAAAAACAAGATGTAGTATCACGGTCTAGTGCAGAAGCCGAATATAGAGCAATGGCTCACACTGCTTGTGAGATGGTTTGGCTACGAAAGTTTATGACAGAACTTGGTTTTGATCAGCCTGGACCCATGCCAATGCATTGTGACAACCAGTCTGCCATTTATATTGCACAGAATCTTGTGTTTCATGAAAGGACAAAGCATATTGAAGTTGACTGCAATTTTGTCAGAGATGCTTGGGAGAAGAAGATAGTGTCTCTCATATTCACTCCATCCTCACAACAACTTGCTGATATTCTTACCAAGGCTACTTCTTCAAAGGTGTTTTCTACTATATGTGACAAGCTGGGCATGATGGATATCTATGCTCCAGCTTGAGGGGGAGTGTTAGAATAAGTTTATTGGGTATTGGGTTAATGGGCTGTGACCCGTTAACCATACTCCTCTTTGTATGCATATATATATATGTATTCTTAACTATCTTAATGACTCAATTGATTAGGGTTTTTGATCCTTCAACAAGTATAGTGCACGTGCGTTGAATGTGAACACGTATGCTTGTTTGATACTTTTTTTCTCTTTTTTTAATCCTAATAGTTAACTAAGGTGAGCACTCTTAGGGGGTGTTAGTCAATTGGGATATTTTAATGCAAATTGGGATAATTGTTAAAGCGGAATAATTTTTTGCTAGTGGGATATTTTAGTGGGATAAATAGGAACAATTTTGTGAAGCGGTATATTTTGATAAAATAACGTGGGATAAATTTTTATAATCATGAAATATATATTTATACATTTTAAAGATATAAATATTATTTATGTATTTTAAACTTACTATTATTGATTTATAATTGCTTACAAGAATATTCTTTACTATTAAATAACTTTTCGTTAGACTATAAGATATTGACAATTATTATTATTATGATGGTCTAATGGTGATAACCATAATAGGAAAGAAGTAAAGATAAAAAAAATATAAAAAATAAAAAATAACAAAATAAATATGAGTTCTAGTTTTTTACCACCTAGTTCCAAGCTAAAACTTGGAATAATTTGAGAGACTAGAACTCTCATTTTTTATAGAAAAATGAAAAAAAGTAGGATAATTTTGTACCATTATCCCAATTCTAGTTTTATTAGAGTTCTACTTGACTAACACTATAAAAAAATATCTCATTTTCTAGTTCTATGTGACTAACACCTTAAAAATTTATCCCACAAATTATCCCAGTTCTAGTTTTAAGTTCTAGATGACTAACCCCCCCTTAAGGTGACCGATAACATGGATTCAGTACCTCAGTACAACGAACCAATGCAGTTAAATCCATAAATGGCATATTTCAGTGTGATGTCCTCATTTATCGCTGGTGCTTTTATGTTTCTTACCATGGTGTAAATACATGTGGTGTACAGAAGATCTCAGTTGGTGATGGTACATGTTTCAATAGAACTTATAATTTTAGCTCTACCCTCCTTCATGCTCGTCATGGTTCCTGCTACTAAAAAAAATATTTTATGTTTTATAGTTTTGCACAGCTCATGATAGTATCTTTCTATTTTCTTTCTACAATGTGTCTTCGCGAGATCTTCTTACAGCAATATTTATCTCTAGAAGATTTCTTCTTTCTTTGAACATCTTAAAGCGATACTGATCTCTCAAAGCTATCTGTAACAACTAACAACATGATCAATATATAATATCAGTTCTGAGTTTCTCATATTGACAAAATGATGAATAACTTGAGAATCAGCTTCTACCAAGTAAAAATAGACTTAGCTTATTGCCTATTTTACTCAAAGATATCAAGCACAATAGAAATAGCTTTACATCCAGAAAACCTCATAGTTGATGAAGGATGATTGGAGCTCCATACTGCGGTTGAATGGTAATATTACTAACGGGAGAGTGCACATAGGAGGGTGACAGTTCAAAGGAAAAATGCTGCAATATCATTGCCAGAGATGTCTTTGCTTCTATCATTGCAAAATTCTGCCCAATGCAGTTTTTCGGTCCCCAGCCAAAAGGGAAATATGAAGAATGGTTGTTTGTAGCCTTTGTGACTCCCTTTGAGAATCTCTCCGGGTTGAACTCTTCTGCGTCTTTTCCCCAAAGTTTGGAGTCATGATGTATAGCGAGTGTTGGTAACATAATATCAACGCCTGCAGGAAGTAAAATCCCCCCCAGTCTCGTTTTGTTGTAAGTGTGTCGATACTGAGCAGTTAACGGTGGATATAACCGTAAGACTTCAAGCAATATCATGTTAACCTGCAACAAGAGTTACGAAGCCAATATTCATGAAATGTGAGAGAAATTAGAGGTGCAGGGGTGTTCCTATGTATACTGTTGACATATTAGTAATATATAGGGACTTATTTGTAAGTTGTGTGTTGTAGGGGCCTATATAAGCCCAAGTTATCTCAGCAATGAATTAGGGTTTCTCATATAATTCTAGTTGGTATCAGAGCCTCCACCAAAACCCTAGCCGCCGCCG